ATTTAATTTATCAGACCGATCTAGCGTTTCCCATGACCCATAGTCCATGTAGGTCACCAAAGTCCGGCCGATGAGCCAAAAGAACGTAATCCCAGTATGTGGATTTCAAGTCATCCCCTAGAGACGAGTCAAAGTCACCTAAACCTAATGTGACCACAGCTTCTATGGTGAATAGGGGGATCTCTCGCACATGCATATGCTTCACCCTAAAAGGTGAATTTTTGACATTTTCAAACGATCTATCGATATGCATGCCGTGTGATGGCACATGGATGAGGCTTTGGCCCCTGTCTCTGTTGGCCCTCATCACACACAAAGGTCACACAGTCCCTCGGCTCACTCATCCAGGCATATTATCCAACCTCATCAAAGGCTAACCCATTAGAGCCCCTTATCAGTTTGTTCTTTATGCCTAGGTAACATGAGTTTTTCCCAATCGACTGGCCTAAATCGTCAAGGATAGTCCGGTATCAGCAAATATTGTTTGCTTAGTATGGTCCTCGAGGGACTACACTCCCACTGAGTTCATGTTCCATTATATCATTTCATTTTACAAGCACTCATAAAGCCTTTAAAGACCATATAAACCCAACAGATTATGTGATAAAGCACGGTGTATACATATTATTATTATTTTTTAGCTTACATCGGCAAGGTCACTTACCATATCCAATTACAAATAAATTACTCTTGAAATAAATAAAAGAGTTCTACATGTTACTACTTAAATACAACTCATTTATTCAATAAATAAAACTTGATATATTGCTTGATGAAAATAGAAAAATAAAATAAAGAAATAAGATAAAATAAGTAAAATTGTCAGAGTTTGCTTCAATCGGGCTTAGTACACCCTACGTTGAGTCTCCTTCTTCCAATAGTGCTCGGGATCAATGACTGGTCTCCTAATTCTACTATGTATGGCAAAACCCCCTCAATGTTTGGGGCGTGGCCCCCTAAAGAGAGAAAGGGAGAACTTAGAGAGAGTAGAGAGCAGAGTTGTAGAGAATTATAAGGGGGAGAACTTCTATTTATAAATCTTCTATGTTTAGGGTTTACCTCTTTAGTAAGATCAAATCTAAAACATCGATCTAAAGAGATTTGTGGGGTGAGAGATGTGAGTCATCCATACCTTAGATCCATTATCAAGATTTAAACGAACATGTTAGAACTTTATTCTCCATTTTCCAAACATATTCCCATCAAATATTTAAATAAATAAAATATTACTCATACTATCTTTTTTATAAATATTCATTCCTTATTCACATAATCTTTTATCAATAAAAATATTTTGATCACAAGACATAATAAAATTCATTTTATTGATTCCTAATGCAAGTAGGCTTTAAACAAAACAGAAAGCCAATTGGTATGGAGGCTTCTCACCATTTTTAATAAGTAAAGCCCCCCATGGGTGGGGCATGCCACCCTGGGTGGCCCCTCATGGATCCCACCCAATCTTCCATATGTTTTTAAATGGCCTCTCATATCATATGGACAGTCCCACATATTTTAGAAAATATTTCTTTTGATTTTTCAGAGTTTTAAAATTGAAGTTATTTCTCTTAGATTATTTAAAACATTAGAAATTATTTTTTTCGTACTTTACAAATACAAGTAATGAAAATAAAATAACAAGAGAATCACAAAAATTCAAATAATCATTCTAAAAATCTTATGACATAAAATTAATTAATTTTAATGAGAATCGGATCCGTATAAGTCTAGGATCTATCGATGTACTGGAGCACCATCTTCAACTATGGAATACGATCCACACTAGTTTTCTTAAATTGACCCAGTGCTTCCCATGACCCATAGTCCACTGCAAGGGTTCATGATTGGGCGACCAAAGTCTGCCAATTGACCAAGACACATAATTTCAGTCTATGAATTTTTGGTTATCTCCTAAAGACAAATCCATAGTCCTCCAGATCATGATGCAACCACGGCTCCATGTTGCATATGGGCAGTCTCTCGCATACGCGCTTCACCGTAATGCTAGATTGCTATCTCGATACGACTATCTATGTACATGTAGTGTGATAATATTATGATGAAGTTTTAACCATGTCCCTAAAGGCCAGCCATAACACACAAGGGTCACTCAGTCCCTCGGCTCACTCATTTACGCAAACACTGGCCTCATCGAGAATTGACCCACTGAACCCTCCTCGGTTTTAACTCTATGCTCAAGTACATTGGGTTTTCTAAGTCGACTGCCCTTGCACGTCGAGTCTAGTACGAGTACTGAAAAATAGCATTTTTCCTAGTATGGTCCACAAGAGGACCACACTCCCACTGAGTTTTTGTTTCATTTTATAAAATGCTAACACATGCTCTCATAAGGGCTTTAATTTCCACATAAATCCAAAAGTTATACCATAGAAAATAGTGTTGGTAATTTTGTTTGTCAGAAGCATTAGTAGTTATGGATGGTGTATTTGCACAAATTATAAATAAAATCAACGGAATTACACCTTCATATGCCCTTGAAGCTCTCATAGATAGAGTTACGTAATTATTTATATGAAGAACTATTACATATCTAGATATGGGCAAGCTTTCTATGCTTCCCCTACAGCATAGAAGTTCTATCCTTCCCCTTATCCAACCGACCATTCTGAATGGACGGCTAAGATTGCCCCAATCACAATGTTACGTCTCTACACTATTTTATTTTTAATTTTTTTTATATAAACTATTTTGGCACCAATTTTGGATGTCTAGTCCTCTATTAAACTTGCAGTAGCAAAAAATATAAAAAAGATATTTTAAATAGAATAAAATGACCAAAATACCTCTGAAAGAATCAAGGGGTATTTTGGCCATTATATTTTATGAAACAATTATTGTTAATATTTTTTTATAGGTGTGTCCCAATGAGAATATGACATATACCAAATTTCATATTCATACAATTTGAATAAAAAAAAACTAAAAATAAAATACTTTGAGACGTCGGATCTAAGATCAAACGGTGAATGGCTCTCTTGATCAAAATTGGATGGCTGGATGGTAGGGAGAGGATAGAACTTCTATGTTGTAGGGGAAGCATAGAAACCTTTTCCTATAGATATTGTCGACAACATATTTACACGATTATTTATGTGATCATTTATTTAATTTGTACGTGCAACAACACACATAATCTCACTAGTGTCAATCAAAGCTAAAAACTAAAATTTTATAGTGTTTAAGCTTTGGTATTTTCAATGAGGGTGGCCACTTCCTCATCGACAACAAATAAGAAAGCTCTTTGGAAATTAGAAGTGGCATGGGGTCAGGTCGGGTCAGGGATCTGGACATGATTGGATCCAACCCAAAAATAAAAATAAAAGTATTTAAATATATTTAAATGTCATGTTAAATATATACATGTATTATTTAAGAAAAAAAGTTATATAAAGTTGCAAACTTAAAATGTAGAATTAAAGATGCACGTCAAAAATGCATTGGAAAATATTTTTTTAATGTTGAAAAACCCTCTAATTGATCATCTTGATATCAAGATGTATGAATATAAAAAAATATATATATATATTTTGAGTTCTATAAATAGTGCATCTTGCAATATATTTTCTAGACTGTTTATTTTCAAGATTTTCATATGTTTATAGATCTACGTGATTTTAACCATTTTTGGAGTTTAAAATTTTATAATTAAAGATAAAAATAGATTTTTAGATAATCGTAAGAATTTTTTACACCAAAAATACATATTATGATAAAATTTAGATGTGCCCCTTAATTGGATTATTTAAAGTTGCAACCTTAGACAAACCGCACCCATTATTTAAAGGTTGTGGTTTGTATAGAGCTGAGGCTCTAAACAATCAAAGTAAAGC